TATAATGCAGTGTTTTTATGCAGGAGATTGCAATGCGCGTAAAATATTGCCATATAGTTGAAGTTACAACTAGTAGTGCTTATAGTATATATAGAGGATATTACATGGGCGCGCGGAGATTTATCTTCGAGTGTTGAAAAGATATTTTCAACACGAGAAGATAAAATTCGTATCTCCAAGCGACCATGTAATATTCTGTTTATCATATAATTGGATATGAACGCAAATTATGTCGTAAAATAYCTTTTTTCTTACTTCCACTATAKAGARAAACCTCGAATGTGATATTTTCACTAGTGAAAATAACATGTTATTTTCACTAGTGAAAATATCAATTTTACGTAACGGAGAAATATAGGTATTTCATAGATAATTATATGATAAATATTTTTCTTTTCAGTTTTCCATGAAAATATCACTGATATGACTGGTACTATCACAAGTCCTGGATACCCATCGTTCATGTGGCAATCTGACTATCGTTTGACATTCATGCCAAATCTGACWCAAGGACGAGTAGTTCTTTATTTTGATGAACTAGATCTACGGCGGGATTGTCCATATATAGGGTACAATATTTCGCAACACCTTACATGAGACATATCCACCACACTCCCTAACTGTTAATGTCGCTGTTGTGTATGTGGTGCATTTTCTTTTATTTTCGAAATATTAGTGTTGATAATATGTTTTATTTCTCTTCTYCATGCTCAGCAATGGCAGTATGAATTACACCAGTAGATGTAACAGTAGTGTTTACATCCAACAATCAGGAAAATTGTATAGCAACAGCGTTTATAATCGATTCGTGGAAGTGCTAAGTTTACCTCTACAATTACGATTTTATTCATCTTCTTCGACACGTGGCTGGGGAGGATGGAGCAAAACTGGAATGAGAGCCCGCTATTTTGCTTACAGCACTCCGGGTATTCATACTTTTCCAATATTCTAAGAAGCTTATGCTAGACATTGTATTGCATTCTAATGTATTGCGTCGCTCTTAAGTCTTGTATTGTTAATCTATTGTTATGTGGATATAATTCCATACAATGCTGTGCATAAATTTGTCAGAGTACTGGACAGCCGACTCATTTGAGGGCCTATGACTTTYTTGAGGAAGTGTGTCAGGCAAAATGGCTGGTGTGTAATTTCTTTTATTATATAGCTCGGATGTAACACACGATTTCATTGGCTAAAAAGCGAGCCATTCTTTTCCGTACGGACCAGATGAAACGAGAAAAAGCGTTCTTTATCTTAAAAAGGTTCGCTTTCTCTCTTTTGAAGTTTGTACTGTATAAAAAAGAGTCAAAAATGAATCCAAATTTTGCCATCAAGTTTTCTCAGGCTTTTCTTTTTTCCTTCTATTTTGAATGACAAGAAAAGTACCGGAACAAAAACGTATTTTTATGTCCGATTCTCTATTGATTTTACTATTTTTCCCTGAAAATGCTATATAATAAATATCTTATTAACCTCGCTTCCTCGAGCCGTACGGGAAGTTATGGAACCTCGTTTTTTTCCCCACTTTTTATGGCCCTCGCGCTACGCGCTCTGGCCAGTGGAAAAAAACTCGGTCCATAACTTCCCGTACGACCCTCGCGCTTGGTTAATAAGATRTTATTATCTAACGTTTTCTGGTATTTTCAACTAGATAAAGCTGGCATAAGCTATGTTTCTGAGCTCTAATATTCCATAGGTCTTTCACTACCTCTTATTTTACAGTTACAGAGAAAAATTGGACAATATCATTATCAAGCCGGAGATATGACAAAATTACAGCTAGCTGGTCTCCGTTTTATGTAACGGGATACGATATTTTCGGATATTTGGTGTCCTGCAAATCTGCACAAGATTGGGCTRAAGGAACATTCTACGAATTTGGAGAAAACAGTTCAAAATCTGTGAATTTTAATGAGCTGATCGGGTACACTAACTATGAAGTGCACGTGTTGATGATGTTAAATGAGAGAGAGACTGGGACGTCTGCGGCATACAAGAGTTTAACAGCGTTAATAACAACTCCTGAATCAGGTAAGCTCTTTAATTATATTTCAAGGCAATCAATAATTATTTCTTATTGATTACTATATCAGTGGTTCTTCTCCACTATTCTTTTTGTCTCTGTTTTTCTTTTTCTTGCCCTTCTCGTTTACTTTCTTTCTTGCATGTAGTTGCGAAAAAAACATAAATTTTACACCGCAAAAATAACGAGGAGTAACACATTTTGTCTTCCATTTCTTCTTCGGCTTTATGTTAGTATCTCCTTTAATTTTTCAATAAATATATCCAGACATTGTTCTCATTATCTTAAATCTTTCTAGTTTTTTTGCTTATTTGCAAACTTATTATTGTTAATTTTTTTTCTTTTATTTCTTAGTTCCTAGAAGTAGTCCTAAAGGAGTTTATTCCACTAACATAACATCAACATCAGCAGTTATTGGATGGCAGGAAATCCCCAGAAAAGATGCCCGTGGTGTTCTTCTTGGATACAGAGTTCAGGTCTACAATAGATACACTGGCAGATATGGAAAAGAAATAATAACACATGATACATCAGTGATATTAACGGATCTTTCACCTGCTGCCTCATATCGAGTGTCCATAAAAGGCTATACTGCAGTTGGATCAGGACCACGTGCATACCATAGCTTTACCACACTGAGTAAGATTTTGATGTCAATGCATCGATAATATGTTCTTTTAATGACCTGCTGATGGAAAAATGTTGATGCAGCGGATAACATTTTTGTTTGTTTGATCGCAACACCCAGATCATAAACACATTAGAGTTTTCCGATTTAGCGGAATTTGAATCCGAAATTCCGAGCGCTAACAATACAAATTGATAATCGCTTTACATCTGCATAATCACTTTACATCTGCATAATCGCTTTACATAAGTGACTTTAAATTTAAGAAATGGCCGATCTATTTCCATGTAAATCAATATATT